ACATGGTATAATGCAGGTGGTGTATAATTCAGTATAACATTTTTTGGAATGCATTCTTTCAATAGCCATCAAATTTAAGGATGCATACTACTTTCATCACATAGATTCTATGAGTTAAAATATATTTCAAATATACTTGACTTGTGGAAATCCTTCTCTCCCTGAAACCATCTGTTTAAGTGTGAGGATATTCTCCCAATAATTGTTTGATAAATTAAATTTTAGAAATCATAAAAAATGTGCATGTCTAAGTGACTAATTAAATAAATTATTATATCCATAAAATGAGATATTGGTCACATTTAAAAATGAGAAGTGTAGCCTTGGCCAATATGGCTTGGTTGGTTGGAGCATCATCCTGTAACCAAAAGGCTGAGGGTTCAATCCCTGGTCCAGGCACATACAGTTCCCAGTCTGGGTGTGTATGGGAGGCAACCAGTTGATGTTTCTCTTTCTCTTCCCTCTCTCCTTTCCTCTTTCTCTTCTTCTCTCTCTAAGAACCGATGAAAACATGTCTTCAGGTGAGTATAAAAAATGAGAATTGTAGATCTGTTTGCATTGATTTGGAAAATACTTAAGATATATTATGAATTAAAATAAAAGTTAAACAGTATGATTATACGTAAACATATACTTATTAAATTGTATAAAGGATGTGTATACATTAGGGTTTGTATGAAGGTGTACTTTACAAAAAGACACACAGAGAAGTTTGATACTTTTACTTAGAAAGGAAGGAGAATTTTATCTTTCACTTTATAATCTTCTGTATCTTTTGACTCTTTGACAATCAGTATTTACTAGTTTTAAAAGCAGTGATAGAAAAAATAGTAGAAAATTATAAACTATTAGACGTTATTAAAATAAGTGATATATTTACTCTATATCCATTGTCTTTCCAGACACCTATGATGAAAAGTATGATGCATTTTCCTTTCACATCTTTTTTCTATGCACATTAAAGATTATTTGTGGGGACTTCTGCCAAGATGGAGGCGTAGGTGGAAGCACTGCACCTTCTCGCACAAGTAAGTTTAAAAACAACAAAGTTTTAGCAACAAAAATGCAGCCAAACCACAGAAAATTGAACTACATGGAAGTCTGACAACAACGAACCCTTCAGCCAAACTGGTAAGAGGGGTAGAGCCAGAAGCAGAGTGGGGCCAGGCAGGAAAGATCTACCAGACTGACCCAGGCATGTGACCCATGCACGCAGGCAGCCGTGGGCAGATCCCAAGTGTGGAGAAGCAGGTGGACTCACTGAGGGCGCAAGGCGGTGGACCCACTGAGGGATGATGGAGGTCACACATTTGCATGCAGATAAACTGGAGAAGGAGCTAGCAGTAAGACTGACTGCAGAGACCCCAGTGGCAGGAAGCAGCAAAGGAGGCTGCCATTGTCCATCTCTGACCACGCCCCCACATACAGCATCACAAATCAGCGACCTGGGTGGCCCCACTTTGGTGAACACCTAAGGCTCTGCTCCTCACACATAACAGGCACAAACAGATCAAAACATGGCTCAAGAACAACTCAGAGCCCCAGAGCCCATAAATCTAAGCAAGGAAGAAATATCCAAACTTTCAGATGCACAGTTCAAAACACTGGTGATCAGGATGCTCACAGAACTGGTTGATTTTAGTCACAAATTAGAGGAACATATGGAAGCTAAACTAATTGAAATGAATGGTAATGCACAGGAAACCAATAGTAATGGAAAGAAAACTGGGACTCAAATCAAAGGAGTAGACCAGAAGGAGGAAAAAAATGACCAAGCAGAAAAGGATGAAGAAACAAGAATTCAAAAAAAGGAGGAGATACTTAGGAACCTTCAGGACATCTTTAAACATTCCAACATCGGAATTATAGGGGTACCAGAAGGGGAAGAGGAACAGCCACCAATGGAAACCTTATTTGAACAAATAATAAAGGAGAACTTCCCCAATCTGGCAAAGGAAATAGACTTCCAGGAAATCCAGGAAGCTCAGAGAGTCCCAAAGAAGTTGGACCCAAGCAGAAACACACCAAGGCACATCATAATTATATTAGCCAAAATTAAAATGAAGGAGAGAATCCTAAAAGCAAAAAGAGAGAAGGAGACAGTCACTCTGAAGGAGTTCCCATCAGACTGTCAGTGGATTTCTCAAAAGAGACCTTACAGGCAAGAATGGGCTGGAAAGAAGTATTCCGAGTCATGAAATCCAAAGACCTACATCCAAGATTGCTCTATCCAGCAAAGCTTTAATTTAGAATGGAAGGACAGATAAAGTACTTCTCAGATAAGGTCAAGTTGAAGGAGTTCATCATCACCAAGCTGTTATTATATGAAATGTTAAAGGGACTCATCTAAGAAAAAGAAGATAAAAAAGATGAACAGTGAAAGGACAGCAAACTCACAGTTATTAACAACCACACCTAAAACAAAAGCAAACTAAGAGGACAGCTAGATCAGGAGCAGAACCATAGAAATGAAGATCATATGGAGGATTAGCAACAGGGGGGTGGGAGAAGAAGGGGGGAGAAGGTACAGAAAATAAGTAGCATAGGTGGTAGGTAAAAAATAGATAGGGGGCAAGAATAGTATGGGAAATATAGAATCTAAAGAACTTGAGACATGTGGTCATAAACTAAAGGGGGGGGGAATGGTGGGGGAGGGGGTGTGCAGAGGAGGGGAATTTAAAAAAAGGACACATGGACAAAACCAAGGGGGATGGTGGAAGCAAGGGAGGAAGGTGGGTTTGGATGGAGTGGGGGCAGGGGTGGGGAGAAAATGCAGATGACTGTAATTGAACAACAATAAAGTAATTAAAAAAGATTATTTGTTTATTTATCAATCAATATAATAACCTATTATCTGTATACCTATCTAATTATTTATCTATCTATCTATCTATCTATCTATCCACTTGTCTGTCTATCTCTATCCTTAAAATGATACTTTTCATTCTGATCTACAAACCTCTTTTCTCAAAAAACAATGTGCCTTGAATATCTTTCCAGTCAGTTCAACCACATCTGTCTTTTGCATTTCAGTCTGCTTGAGATTTTCAATATGGTGGTAGGAAGATAAATTCTAGGAATATCAGAAGATCTTCTTATTGAAAGAACAATAAATGTGACTTTGAATTTTTTTCCCAATGCATTTGGGTGCTGGATGCTGGCTCCTTACACTGGTAAGTCCCAGGTGAGATTCTGTGAATGGAGGGTTTGTCTGAGCCAAGCCAGAAATCAAGTTACCTTGTTTTCTTTGCTGCATAGTGCGGACTCTAGGGAAATATTCCTGCTACTCTCCAAATGTTTCTCTTCACTGTCTTCCCAAGGACCATGTGGGATAAAAATGGATTGAAATAACTGTTAGACTAAGTAATGGGAAATGGGCCCTGGGAAAGGTGAGGAGGAGAACTGGACAGGGACCTAGAGGGGGAAGACCAGCTCTGCAACCACTAGAGGTTACTGCTTTGGTAACAAACTTGAGCTATTCCAGCCACTTCCATCTGTTGCTACAGATGGGTCTGCGTAGCCCACCACTATGGAATGTTTGGTCCTTGCTCATTTGGGGCTGTGATAGCCAGTGGATTGACTCTACACTAAAGCTGAGGCATCTGAGAGGAGTCCTGCAAGCCATGTATGCCCAGGTAACCTCCATTAGGAAGTGTCACCAGGCACTTGTGAACCCTGGTAATGGGGCAGATCATCCCCAGGTAATTCAGCCCTGCTTCACTCTATGAGGATGGGATCAGCAAGAGCCAGGTCAAGTTCAATAGGTCACAGCTGGTCATGGCTCCCCTTCCCAGTGTTGGCCCCTTTTCTATTCACCCTGATACCTCTTCCTGTTGGGGTCACTCAGTCAGTCTTACTTAGTTCCTGCTTCTGTTTTTTTTATCTCTGCCTGATCCAGCTTTGAAAATAAAGACTTTTCTCAGCTTGTCGACTCATTTTATCTTCTACTGGAAAGGATGAGAGAGTCATGGCTTGACTCTCATCCAGCCATGGGGTGCCAGGGGACCCCATGGCAGAGAAGTTGAGAGCACCAGGGAGTGAGACAGAGGGGTTCAATTTCTCCTTCTTGGAGTTGTTGGATTGAATGGAAAATGAGGGAATAGGCTATCCAGCTTTGGGTTCCATGTCTCCACTGAAGCCTGGCTGTGAGCCACCTGACTTCAATTCCTACCTTGTTAAAAGACTGTGATCAGAGAGTTGTGGGGAGGTGGTTCCAGGTAACCTAGCTATTTGTTTGTTTGTTGTTTTCACCTCAGGTGCTAGAGTATTTATTCTTGTACTGATTATTGTTCCTTCAGTGATGATTTGTCTTGTTCCATTTCCTGTTTTTGTTGAATATCCCTTCCATAATTATATCTGGTTGATCTAACCAGCCCATCTTACCACCATATTCATTTTTCCAGTTGATGGTTCTGTGGTTGCCAAGGAGCCTGAGATCACCTCACCCCGAGGGTCTAAATTAATCATTTTTGGTTCTACAGTCAGACTCATTTCTGTAACTACATTCAAGATCTCTTCTATCATCCTGCATTTTATTGGTCATATGGATCATGTGGAAGGCATGAATTTGTGTTAAAAAAGTAGGTATTATAACAGCAACTCCTAAAAGAAAATGGTATATTGGGTGGACATGTTATATTGAGATGTCTGGAGGAAACACAGGGTTTACTACAGTTACAATGGGCTAACTGCTGAAGAACTCCTGAGGGTCAGTTGACCCCACACAAATTTATTACTCATTCTGTGACATTCTGTTCCACTTTCTTGAATACCTGCCCTCCAAGGACCTGTGAGAGGAGAGCAGGAGGACTCTGCATAGAGTTTCCTATGGCAAGCAATACCCACACCCACATTCCAGAATGCAAGAGAGGCTGGGATAGTGGTTTGATAATAAACAGGAGAAGAAAATAGGTCTGGTGGGTTTTGTGTTCTCAGTCTATTATAGATCAAAAGATGTGTGCAATAATTCTGTCACTATTTCTTCATTTATGCAGCTTCACCTTTCCAGATCTTATTTCTTGGGCTGTCAGCTGTTGGGGTGTGACTTCAGAGCCCTAAGAGCCTTCTGGATTACTACATCTACAAACATTTTTTTGTGTAGTAGAAGTACTCTTCAAAAGTTGGTGAGTTTCCTACTCTCAGAGGAGTTCTCTAATCCAGCCCAGTCTTCAGAATCAGCCCCCAAATGCACTGTGACAGATAAGGACCATTTCAAAGACACTTTTCCCCTAGTGGTGAAGAAACCAAGAAGAGTCTGGTAGAAGCTGCTTGTCAGTGGGTTATGCAGCACCTGAGGATGTCCATGCCATCTTTGTAGCCCTTGAGGTAACCAGTGTGGTGTTAACAAAGTGCATGTGCACAGTCTTCTCTGAGCAACAGTGGGTGAATGAGTGAGCACACCTGCCCTCCACCACCCTTGGAAAATTAGAAAGTAGGGGGTGTTTACAGGAACCAGATGGTCATGTAACAATTATTTTCCTCAATATCTTCTGCTCATTAGCACCAGAAAGTGCCAACAGACATTCTCCAATTTGAACATGAATCTTGTGTTTTGCTTGTATGCCTGTCTTTTTCCAACAGCATCTTTTCATTGTAGACATTTATAAATACATACAGGCAAAAAGAAGAAATGAATAACTAACATAATCCTTTTTGCTTGTTTTTCTTCCCATCTTGACTGCTTTTGTCAAGGAGATAGTTTCATTCGTAGTTTAAATGTTAAAAGTAATACATAGCTGTGGTAATAATAAAAGCAACACAGGCATAGAAGTAGAAGGAGCAATAATGAATAGTAATAACTTTCTTTCCTCCTCTTTTTTTAAATTCAGGAGGGTGCCAATGTCAACAGGTTGGTGTGAACTTTCCTAGGTTTTTTCTTATAACTTTAAAGCAGGCATTGCTACCTCTCCAATACCATTGCATAAATTTAAATAGATGTATTTCTTCACAAAAAGAGAGGCCTGTGATATGTAATGTTCTGAGATTTTCTTTCCCATTTAAAAATATATTGTGGAAATCTTTCCAATTTAAGATATTTGGGCCTTTCTTACTCTTTTTACTGATTAAACAGTCTCTCATAACATATATTCACCATCCCATCAATGCTTATTTAGTTGCTTCTATGGTCTTCCTGTTACCTTATTTCTCATAAGGTAACAGCCACTTTTATCCTTAAGGATTTGTTCTAGAAGTGGAAATGCTGGATCAGAAAGTTTTATTTTTTGAAAAATATATTATATTGATTATGCTATTAGACATGTCCCAATTTTCCCCCTTTGCCCCCTCCATCCAGCACCCCTCCTTCTCTCTGGCAACCACCCCACCCTTAGTTCATGTCCATGGATCATGCATATAAGTTCTTTGGTTACTCCATTTCTGATACTGTTCTTTTTTTAAAAAATTTAATTATTGTTCAAGTACAGTTTTCTGTCCTTTACTCCTGTCCCAGCCCACCCCGTTCAGTGCTCCCCACCTCCATCCCATTTTCACCCCCCCTTAGTTTCTGTCCATGTGTCCTTTATACTTGTTCCTGTGAATCCTTCCCCTTTTCCTATGAACTTTCCTCTGGTCCCTGTCAGCCTGTTCTCTATTTCAGTGCCTTTGGTTATATTTTGCTTGCTCATCTGTTTTGTTGTTTAGATTCCTGTTAAAGGTGAGATCATGTGAAATTTGTCTTTCAATGCCTGGCTTATTTCACTCAGCATAAGACTTTGCAGTTCCATTCATGCTGTTGCAAAGGGTAGGAGCTCCTTTCTTTCAGCTGCACAGAATTCCATTGTGTAAATGTACCATAGTTTTTGATTCATTCATTTACTGCTGGGCACCTAGGTTGTTTCCAACACTTGGCTATTGTAAATTGTGCTGCTATGAACATTGGGGTGCACAGGTTCTTTTGAATTGGTGTTTCAGGGTTTTTAGAATGTAATCCTAACAGTGGAATTGCTGGGTCAAAAGGCAGATTCATTTTTAGTCTTATTAGAAAAATTCCATAGTGTTTTCCATAGTGGTTGTACCAGTCTTCAATCCCACCAACAATAAACTAGGGTCTCTTTTTGCTGACAACCTCATCAACACTTGTTGTTGGTTACTTTGTTTATGATGGCCATTCTAATAGGTGTAAAGTGGTATCTCATTGTGGTTTTAATTTGCATCTCTCTGATAGCTAGTGACATAAAGCATCTTTTCATGTGACTCTGGATCCTCTATATGTCCTCCTTGGAAAAGTGTCTGTTCAAGTCCTTCACCCACTTTTTAATTGGGTTGCTTGTCTTAGAGTGGAGTCGTGTAAATTCTTTGTATATTTTGGAGATTAAACCATTGTCTGAGGAATCATTGGCAAATACGTTTTCTCATGCAGTTGGTTCTCTTTTTATTTTAATACTGTTTTTGTTAGCCATGAAAAGCTTTTAATTTTGATGAGATCCCACTTGTTTATTTTTTCCTTGATGTTTGTTGCTCTCGGGGACATATCAGTAAAAATGTTGCTGTGTGAAATATCTGAGATTTTCCTGCCTATGTTCACCTCTAGAACTTTAATGGTGTAATGGCTATTACTTAAGTCTTTCATCCACCTTGAATTTATTTTGGTGTATGGTGTAAGTTGGTGCTTGACTTACATATTTTTTTTTTGCACATAGCTGTCCAGTTCTCCCAACACCATTTGTTGAAGAGGCTATTTGTAGTCCATTTTATGTTGCTACCCTCTTTGTCAAATATTAATTGCCCAAAGAGACTTTGGTTTATTTCTGGGCTCTCTGTTCTATTCCACTGGTCCATGTATCTGTTTTTATGCCAGTACCAGGCTCTTTTGATTACAGTGGCCTTGTAATACAGTTTGGTATCAGGTATTGTGATCCCTCCTACTTTGTTCTTCTTTCTCAAAATTGCAGCTGCTATTTGGGGTCATTTATGGTTCCATATGAATTTTTGAAGTGTATGTTCTATTTCTGCGAATATGTCATTGGTATTTTAATAGGTATTGCATTGAATCTGTAAATTGCTTTGGGTAGTATGGACATTTTGATGATGTTAATTCTTCCAGTTCATGAACATGGTATACATTTCCATTTGTTTGTGTACTCCTCAATTTCTTTCTTCAGTGTTGTGTACTTTTCTGTATACAGGTCTTTTACCTCCTTGGTTAGGTTTATTCCTAGGTATTTTATTTTTGTTTTTGCTATATTGAAAGGGATTTTTTCTTGCTTTATGCTTCTGCCGTTTCATTGTTGGTATACAAAAATGTCTTTGATTTCTGGATATTGACTTTGTATCCCGCTCTTTTGCCAAATTCATTATTAGGTCAAGTAGTTTTTTGGTGGAGTCAACTAAATTTTCCATATACAGTATCATGTCATCTGCAAACAGTGACAGTTTTGTTTCCTCCTTTCTGATTTGGATGCCTTTTATTTCCTTTTCTTGTCTCATTGCTGTGGCTAAAATTTCCAATACTATACTGAATAGAAGTGTTGAGGAAGACAACCTTGTCTTATTCCTGACCTAAGTAAAGAAGATTTTATTTTTTGCCCATTGAGTATGATGTTGGGTGTAGGTCTCTCATATATGGCTTTAGTATATTGAGGAATGCTTCCTCTATTCCCACTTTGCTGAGTGTTTTTATCATGAATGGGTGTTTTACCTTATCAAATGCCTTTCCCACATTTATTGATATGATCATGTGATTTTTGTCTTTGGTTTTGTTTATGTGTTGTAGTACATTTACTGATTTGGAAATATTGAACCATCCTTGAATCCCTGGGATGAATCCCACTTGGTCATGGTGAATGATCTTTTTAATGTATTTTTGGATGCAGTTTGCTAATGTTTTGTTGAGGATTTTAGTATCTATGTTCATCAGTGATATTGGCCTGAATTTTTCTTTCTTTGTTGTGTCTTTATCTGGTTTTGGGATTAGGATGATGCTGGCTTCATAAAAAGAGTTTGGGAGCCTTCCATCATTTTGGATTTTTTGGAATAGTCTGTGAATAATAGGGGTTAGCTCTTCTTTCAATGCCTTGTACAATTCTCCTGTGAAATCATCTGGTCTAGGGCTTTTGTGTGATGGGAGTTTTTTTATTATTGCTTCAGTTTCTTTTGCTTTATAGGTCTATTCAGGCATTATGCTTCTTCTTTGTTGAGTTTTGGAACATTATATTTTTCTAGAAATTTGTCTATTTCACTTAAGTTTTCAAATTTCTTGGCATAGAGTTCTTCACAGTAGTTTCTTACAATCCTTTGTATTTCTGTGGTGTCAGTTGTAATTTCTCCTCTTTCATTTCTAATTGTGTTTACTTGAGTTCTCTCTCTTCTTTTCTTAATGAGCCTGCTTAAAGTCTTGTCTATTTTGTTTATCTTTTCAGAAAACCAACTCCTGGATATATTGATCCTTAGAATTGTGCTTTTAGTCTCTATGTCATTTAATTCTGCTCTGATCTTGGTTATTTTTTTTTCCTTCTACTTGCTCTGAGCTGTCTTTGTTGTTGTTCCTTGAGTTCTTGTAGGGGTAGGGTTAGCTTATTTGTTTGAAATATTTCTATCTTTTTTAGGTAGGCCTGTAATGCTATGAACTTCCCTGTCAGGACTGCCTTTGCTGTGTCCCATAACTTATGGGTTGTCATGAGTTCATTTTTTTTTTTGTTTCCAGAAACTTTTAAATTTATTTCCTAATTTCATTCTCGACCCATTCATTGTTTAATAGCATGCTATTCAATCTCCATGATTTCGAGTGTTTTGGGTCTTTTTCCTTGTGGCTGGTTTCCAGGTTCACTCCCCTGTGTTCAGAGAAAATGCTTGGGATAATTTAAATTATCTTAAATTTGTTGAGGCTCGTTTTGTGTCCTATCATGTGGTCTATCTTTGAAAATATTCTATGTGCATTTGAAAAGAATGTGAATTTAGCTTCTTTGGGGTGAAGGGCTCTATATACATCAGTTAAATCCATTTCATCAAGGGCTTTGCTCAATGACACAATATCTTTGTTGATATTTTGTTTGGAAGATCTGTTTATTTTTGACAGTGGGTCATTAAAATTCCCAACTATAATTGTGTTGCTGTTAATATCTTTCTTGAAGTCCTGTAAGATTTTCATTATATATTTGGGTGCTCCTATGTTGGGTGCATATATATT